CGTGCGTGCGTGCGTGCGTGCGTGCGTGCGTGTGCGTGTGTTTCTGGAAGACACAGAGGGAAAGAGAAAAGGAGACAATGTCAATGGTGTAGGAGTAAAAAGGAACGAAAAAGGACGTTGAAACAGAGGCAGAGGTAAAAAAGCGAGATAGCGAGGAATGGGGGATGGAGTTATAGGTTTTGATTGATTATTTGACGGAAAGCAACCTACATTGGGGGAGCAGCTACAGGAATTGTACGCTGTACCAGTACGGCACGGAGATGGACATTACATGGTACGCGATAGGTTATATACTGACCTGTTTACTGTAAGAATGCTCGTTTGCAGCCATTGTGTCATGAATCATTTTATGCTATTACGAGAATTGAATACTGATTAAAAAATTGAAATTTATTACAGCTAGAGATTAGAACGGGAAGGCAACATCCGAGGAAATCCTTTGGCGGAATAACACTCGACCGATCTCTGATTCAGTTAGCATCATGGAGAAACTGACGGAAATCGAGCTAGTGGGAGTGCTGGTGCAGGAGCAAAGGCAGGAGTATGCCACTAGTCCCACAGGCCAAATGAGTAGTGTGAGTACAGATCTATGTGTTTTTCTATATCTTTTCAACCGTATCTATATAGTAAACATGCACATAGTTCTTCCGAATCGTAAGATCGGGTTTGGCTCTATTGACGAATGTACCTGTGACCACACGTTCGTAATTGCCATAGTGCGAAAAGGTTTAATGACACAAAAGCAGTATCTCCTATAGAAAGATTTCTTTTAATTCGGGTTTTAAACATTCACGGTTGCATCCAACAGTTCTACATTTGTTCTCTCAATGTTCGTAAAGCTTAATTCATTCTATTTAAAGTGCTTAGGAGATAGCATGTTATCAGGAGTTAATAAAGACAAAGGAGTTTGACACGTATTTGGTACTGATATCACTACATGTTGTCGTACGAGTTCGATGTGAATAAAAATACAAATGTATACAAACATGAGCTTCTTTTGTTCACTGGTCCTTATTCTATCTTCCGGTAGTATTACAAACCGCATAGCTTCCTTCGTTTTGACAGAAATCGTACTTTTGCATGACATGGTTTCGTTAGTTACCGTTGTGTGGCGATGCAAAGCCCGAAATTCGCACACACAGCTAGTTGAAGGAGGCGCGTCAGGGATGGCGTCTCCCGTAGGTTATCTCCAGTAGAAGGTTTTGTTTGGCTAACAAAGCTGAGTGATGACGACGTTAACTCTCGCCTTCATCACATGCAGATGGTCATGATAAGTAAGGTGTAAACATATGCGTTTGCCTGCAATTGCATATTAACGGTTGCTATGCAAAACACATGTGCGAAAAGCTACAATCAGCTGGAGCGTCAATTTACTCCTAAGATTCATACACATTATTCCTCCGCGGGTGAAGTAGTTCAGATATTTTACCAGCGCAGCGTTTATTTAAAAAAAACTGCTGGATTCAACCATAAAAACAAGGCATTCTAACTATAGTTTAAATGTAAAATAGTTTTAATTTTTAAACCAAGCATGGGTGCAACGTAACTTAATTTCTAGGCGAATTTTTTGCACTCAACTAGGCTACGGCCGAAAGACCCTGGCGCGCCTCCTTCAACTAGCTGTGTGTGCGAATTTCGGGCTTTGCATCGCCACACGACGGTAACTAACGTGAAAACCATGTCGTGCAAAAGTACGATTTCTGTCAGAACGAAGGAAGCTGCGCGGTTTGTAATACTTCCGGAAGATAGAATAAGGACCAGTGAACAAAAGAAGCTCATGTTTGTATACATTTGTATTTTTATTCACATCGAACTCGTACGACAAAATGTAGTGAAATCAGTACCAAATACGTGTCAAACTCCTTTGTCTTTATTAACTCCTGATGTTATTAATGCATATTTTGTAAAGCGGTTTTGGCAGAGATAATGAAGCCCATTCTGTTTTGACCCAGTGCTGCATTACCAGCCAGCCTAGAGTCTTTGTGCACCAATGCCTCAGATAAAGACCTATAACTAGTGATGGGAATCAGTTGGAATATCATCATCGATCATCGGTTGCACCCAATCGATCGATGATCGAAGATAATCGCTTGAATGTTATTGATCGCGCCTACCAGATATTGAAATATATCATATATCATATAATACAGGACTTTTTATAATACAGTATTCTAAAAGCTATGTAACAGTATTATACATATTGATGTTTGGTGTAGGTTATATTTACTGTCTCCAAGCTGCAAAATAAGCAAAATAAATGCACATAAATCAAAATAAAAAGTCATTTCATCAATGTTTGCAAATTATATTGAAAACTATTATTTTTTGATTACCCATTATTCATTTTCATAATCGAGTGCTTAGTCGCGATTGCTGCAAACGACTGACTTTCGATTATAATTGATCGTCGGGACATCACTGCTGTTCAGGTCTCAGGAATCAAACATGATTTTCTCACCTTCAGAAAAGGTAGAATTAAGAGGGTATAATATAAAGAAGGAAAATAATTGTGTACATAATGTAGATAGAGATAGGATAGAAGTTGGACCAAGGTGGAAGAGATAGAGAAAGAGATGGAAGAATATAGAGGAGTGACTAGGTAGAGTTAAGTATGGATCGAGGAGGCAAATGAGGGCAGGAAGAGGGAAGGTGCGTGAACTAAAAGATGCTGGAATATAGTGAGAGTAGAAGAGGCGGGTAGGGGAGGTGTTATATGAATGAAATGTGCAAGAGACGGTATAAATTTGTAGTAATTTGTGCCGATGGATGTAGTCACTGTGACTACTGATACACGTACTTGTGCTGTGTGAGATTGCCTGCCACTGTACGTGTACCTCAACGTGTCACCGGCTGCGTTGCGGTTCACGCAAACTTGCCAAAAGATGTCTCCACTTGCGCACTGGTTGGCTCGGCGTCGGCGGTTGATATGTTTCACATAAGGCTCAACAGGTGTCTCTGTTGTAGATTTGTTTATATACGCTCGCAAGCCCGTAGATTCAGTAGGCAGTGGGAAGTGCGTGACAATGGCTATGCTGGAAAGCGTTTCTGGGCGTCCGGGCAGAGAGATAGAAATGGAGGAGATACGTATTTTAATGGCAAGGCAAGCCGCGCCAAAAATCGACAGGGTGAGCATATCTAATATTTGGTATACTTGGTTTTTGTACTAATTCATGTTATGACTTCCGCTTGTTTATAAATTACATGACTTCCGCAACGTTGATTATCATTATGTTACTTCATGATCCGGGTAGCTCTAGTACGCAGGCGTGCGGCAACTGTACGCGGGCTATAGTACTAGAGCTATGATCCGGGTCCATTACTCATTAGGGCCTACCGATTACGCATTTGATAGCATTGATGTATCCCAACCGAGTAGATAACTGTAACCCACTCTGTTAATAGGTCACACATTTGTATCTGATTACGCATAAGCCCATGTAGCACTACATGAATCTACACTATATAACTATAAGCTATGTTGTCCTTCATTCCATGACAGTAAACACGGTTTTAGCTGTCTTTGGTCTGTTGTTGTTACAGTTACACACTAAAAATTACCACTACAGGAGCAGGAAAGCTCATGTTCTCATTTTTACCAATGTACTAAGTAAATGAAAAAATAAAAAATAAATAAAATGCAATTAAGGTCCTATTTTTGGGCCCGCCAAAATAACTCAGCATGACTGTCGACGTAACCTGTGTGCATATATGCCCTGACATTCTTTTCACAGTAATGGCAGTCGGAGACATTCCCAAACCGAACCTTCAAACCATAACCATAATACTAACCATGCAGATGAAAACTGCATACATGCTACATAGGTATAGCGTTGTCCGGCTAGAAGCTGTACCATCCCACACTTGGCTGCTCCCACAGGGCAGACCCAGAGTGCAATCCGCATGCTTCGATTACGTCACTGCTGTGTGGTTGCATTGCATGTATGTGATACAGAGTCTGAAGTTGGACTTTGATCTTGAAGCACGTCCGTTGGGAAATCCAATAGATATTAAAAGCAGGAGTACATGAATCATATATATATATATACAGGGTGCGAAATTAACGGGTGTCCGGACTCCGGAGTCAAATACTCCCTGATTTACTGCCGAACTCCATGATTTGACATATGCAGGAGTCCGTGTGACTCCCTGAAAATTCTGCGATACTAACTAGTTCGTTCCGGAGCACGGCCGCGCAGAATTACTGTATTTTTTCAGCTAATGTCCAAAGAAAATTTGGCAGACGTGCAACTGCATGAATCTTAAAAATAAGCAAATGCGTTATCTTTAATTTTGAACCTCAGACTGCGGACTCCCTCATTTTGCTGAGGACTCCCTCTTTTTGAGGGTAGGGAGTCCGTTGGACTCTCTTGTTCAAAAGTCAAATTCTACCCCTGTATATATATGAAAGTGATAGAGACTAGCATTGATGATAGTTGAGTGTGTATGTGTGCCTGTGTGCGGATGTAACTGTAATTTCACTCAACTGAAACTGTAAGTGTGCAGTACGCGAAATTAGCGGTATTTTGCCACTTAAAAATTAAGCCACCGGGTTCACAACCCCTCATATAATTAGTCAACTTGGCCTATTCAAAATCTTGCCTAGATTGCCTTTATATCAACAATATTTACCATTTTCCTGACTAGTTATTACTAAGTAACTACTAAGAAATAAATCATGTTCCAATAATTCATGTCAAACAAGTAGAACTCCACTGATAGTTCAATGAAATATTGAAATACCACGAGTGTGCCTAATAGACACAAAGCTAATACTTTTATTAATAATGGAATACATTGAACGCAATTAAAGGCCTGTTCAAACTTGTATAGGCCTGTTCAATTTGTCTAAGGACCTGTTTAAAAATGTGGGTGGGCCTGTTCACATTTTGGCTAATATCAAGAGTAGATAATAGCACAATGTTATTTTCACTTCTTGCTAATATCATGCCCTGTAAGTGCAGGGTTCGTAGTGGGTCTTCCAAAGTCTTATAAGTACTTATTTTGCCAAAAATAAAATAAGGGCCCTTATTAATACTTATTTTTGTTGAAATCTTAGAAAAGTACTTAATAGTCCTTATTTTTTGTCCTTTTTGTTGTATATATAATACGGAATAATTAAATCTGCTGTGCAATTGTGTATATAAATATTATTAGTGCACTTTAATAGTCGATGATCTATCAGAAATCGCGTAAAAAAGTCTTATTTTGGCCTCCGGAAAGGGCCTTATAAGTCCTTATTTCAACATGTGTCTTACTACTATGAACCCTGAAGTGTAATCGTAGTGAAGACAAAACAGCAAAGTGCAAGTTATTACTCGTATTTACCTGTGCAGCATGGGAGAGTAGATATTTTTTTAGCCAATTGCCATTAAACTGTAAAAACAATGGGTAAGTAACAATGTGTACAGTAAAACCTTGAAGGTGCATTGGGTGTCCCCATTGTCATTGACATCCTTACATGCTAGATGCTGTATCCACTTACCTGGTAGCTGGATTGACAATTAAGTTATACGAATTTCTCATCATTATCAAAAGCCCACGCTGCATTGGCACTCTGTAAGTGTAATTGCTTAAT